AAAAAAAAAAAAAAAAAAACCCTCTCAGCCTCAAGCAATGCTCCCACCTCCCCAAGTGCTGGGATTATAGGCGTGAGCCACTGCACCCAGCCTGAAGACAAAATTGTCTTTTCTCCTGCCCCTTGTTTTCCTTCTTCTTATTTTTGTGACATTTAACGCCTCTCTTATTTTTATCCCCCACTTCCCCTATTCTGCCTCTTTCCTTTAGTTCTTTCCCTCTTCTGATTTCATCATTTTGTTCAGTTTGTCGCAGGCGATCAGCAATTTGGTCCTTACTGTGGTCATGGGTTCCCTGGGCCACTAAATATTGAAACTAAGAGTAATGCTCTTGATATCATCTTCCAAACTGATCTAACAGGACAAGAAAAGGGCTGGAAACTTCGCTACCATGGAGATCGTGAGTAACCTAGAAGTGCCTCTTTGGCTGGTGATAGCAAAGTCCCCAGACAATGTGGGATCAAAGCATGTAGATGATCCAGGCACACAGGTATGCACCTGTGATCTCAGCTATTGGGGGAGGCTGAGGCAGGAGGATCTCTTGAGCCCAGGAAGTAGGAGTTCGAGTCCAGTCTGGGCAGCAAAGCAAAACTTTGTCTCTAAAACAAAACAAAGCAACAACAATAGTAATAATAAAAGAAGATAGATTCTTGTTCTGATAGAATCCTGAGATACTTCACTTCCTCAGGAAAATCTAAACCAGTCAGTTGTTGCTGGAAATGCTTCAACCTCTAGTAATCCTTTAACTAGACCTGAGAGTGCAGACAGCTGGGGGGTGGTTACTTGGTAATGCCATATTATTTTAGACATCTGCTGTATTGGAATGTTAATCATCAGGATTGAGGACGACCGGACGATTTTAGAAAGTGAGAATGATGTAAATAGAATGAGAGTCCTCAACTATTTAGTAATTTTATTTCCTGTCCCAACTTCTGTTCTTTCAAGCAATCCCCTGTCCTAAAGAAGACACTCCCAATTCTGTTTGGGAGCCTGCGAAGGCAAAATATGTGTTTAGAGATGTGGTACAGATAACCTGTCTAGATGGATTTGAAGTTGTGCAGGTAAAGTACTATCTTGGCTTCTCCCCAATCCCTGGCCCCAGATCAGGATTTGTACTGAAACTGTCCAGTGGTTCACCTAATGTATGTGTGTGATCAGGGTATAACACCTTTCCTGTAAACACATCAGCTTAAGATCTGTAGTTCTTCCTTGTGAGTAATGGAGCTCCCTGGCCAGCTTGGTGTTCTCTCTCTGCCTTCAGTCTTCCTGGGGAAGGGGAGCTGACACATGCTGTTTTCATATGGGGCAAAGCTGTCCGTCAGCCTCATCTCCTGGGTTCTTTGGGTCAGTCTGCTAAGATGTTCCCAAGCTTCTTGTGGTGAGGACTCCTCATTGATCCCAAGCCAGAGATCAATTCCAGTTTTGATGTTGGTTTCCCATATTTCTCTTGATAAATTACTGTTGCTGTTTATTATTCTCCAGGGACGTGTTGGTGCAACATCTTACCATTCGACTTGTCAAAGCAATGGAAAGTGGAGTAATTCCAAACTGAAATGTCAACGTACGTGTCTCTTCAAAGTGGAAGTCTTTCTTTTTCTCTCAGAGAAAATGGAAAGATCAACACATCAAAATTCAAATGCATGGTTTCCTCTTAAGCATGTGAGAGAGTGGGTTGAGTTTTTGAAGGGAAGCCAGTCACGGAGGCTTTTCTAGTCCCAGCCCCGGATCTGGTCCCAGGCCAACTAGACTGGCAGGTTTCTTTCCAAGAAAGGGGCTGTGAGATAGGTCGAGTGAATAGCCCCATGTGGGGGCATTTGTGGCTTCCACTGCAGCCTTCACCAGTCACTGAGAACCAGGCTCTTCCCTATGGCTTTGGTGGGGCATCTGAATTGGTATCTCAGTGGGGCAGGGAGCTGAGTGATGCCAGTTGGGGAGGATGGCCACAGAGGGTCTAGAGTGGGGAGCTTCATTCCAAGTGTGCTCGTGGATTTGGGGTAGGGAAGCAGTGAGGATGAAGCTGGCCCCATGACTCTTGCGTGGAGGTGGCTGTCCTGACCATCGCTCCCCTTCCTTCGTCTGATAGCTGTGGACTGTGGCATTCCGGAACCCATTAAGAATGGTAAAGTCGAAGACCCACGGAGCACTTTGTTTGGTGCGGTCACCCGCTACACTTGTGAGGAGCCGTATTACTACATGGAAAATGAAGGAGGTGGTAGGTTTCTTCTACCGGAGAACAGAGAGAGAGAGAGTGAGAAGGTGTTGGAGGGTGAAGAGCAGAATCTGTCTGTGTCAGAGAGAGTTTGGACACAAATGAAAGTGTAGGACAGACATTGTTCATCCCCCGGCTTTGTCCAAGGATACAGTTTCCATACGGGGCAGGGCACGTTCAGGGTCGCATCACTGGGAATCATAGAAGTCACCAACTCAGTTTCACAGCTGCAAGCAGGAATTCCCCTGCAGCATCCATTTCATGGGATCGCCCACCTTTGGACCAGTTATTTCATGAAAAACCGACAGTAACAATGCCTCCAGCTTCAAGCCACCAAGCTTCACCGACTGGCTTTCTTGATGTAGAGATTTGGTCATGCTAGATGAAGGGCTGGATGAGACATTATAGGTTCTCTGCATTGCTTTTTATTTTATTTCCCCACTTTCCCAGTGCCCTCTTTCCTTCTGCTTTGGAAATGTTCCATTTGTCTTCCCTGGCAGGCTAGAGGCCTGAGGGATTGTTTGGAGGGAGATATTTTTTTCTGGCTGATTTAATCTGATTTCCTACTCGAATCCCAGAAGAGCTGAGGCTCTGAAGGAATGGCGCAGAGTGTTGGGGGGAGGGGAATGGAGGAGGGCAGATGTGGCGTTGAGTGCGGCCCGTGTTCCCCTTGCTATTCCAGGGGAGTATCGCTGTGCTGGCAACGGGAGCTGGGTGAACGAGGAGCTGGGCACAGAGCTGCCGAAATGTGTTCCAGGTAAGGAAGTCTGAGGCTTGGGGAGGGATGATAGCCACAGGTGAATGGGAGTCACCTGTGATCCTCTTGGGAAAGGACGAACAGTGGTCTGCCAGCATCCAGCTCAGTGAGGTGGCAGTAGCACTGTGCCGTGGAGCGCCGGGGCCGTAGGGAACCCCCTCAGCCACAGTGAAGCCAGGCCGACTGGAAGGAAACAGAAGTGTCAGCCAGCGACAGTTGGTGTCTGGTATTGTAGATACAGCAAGAAGATACAGAACTGCTAAAAACAGGGCCTGAAAGCTGAGAGTGAGGAATCAACACTCAGAAACAAGGCTAGTTAAATAGCCTAGTTATTATATTAAAGGTTTATATGGCAACAAGATACAGAGGAATTCAAGGAACGAGGAAGGGTCAGAGTTGGGTAGCAGAAGGCTGGGGCAAATCCAGTTGGATAATAACCATCCTGGCTGTTACTGAGAGCTAAAGACCGAGCTGATTTGTTGCATTTATTTTCTCATTTGCGTCCTTGTCTGTGAGCTAGGTGTCATTGGTCTTATTTGACAGGTGAGTGGGTGGGGTGCAAGTTCATAGAGTTAGCAAGCGGCAAAGGCAGGCTTTGAGCCCAGGACCTAGTCCACAGCCCATTGTGCTCAACTTGGAGTCCGTCCAGGCTGTCTAGTAAGGGATTTAGGTAAGCAGCGTCACTTGAATTCAGTTATACTGGGTAACGGCACCAGTCACTGGGAGTGAGAGGTCAAGGCCAAAGAAGGGACCCCTCTCTACTTCCTAGGCTGACCTGTGGGTTACTGGGAGGGACGCAGGTGCAACTAGGAGCCTACTAAAGAAGGTGATTAAAGTTCGATCTGAGTGTCTGAAGAAGGCAGAAAACTTGCCTCCTCCACCATCTGTGCGAGAAAAGGGTTTCTAGCACTGGCTGTTGGTTGTGCACCGCCTCACGCGCCGCGTCAGGAGGTGCAAGGGGGACCCTTGCCTCCAGTGGAGCCGTGAGTCACACTGTGGATAGTGTGAGGCACTAGTGCATCTGGACTCAGTGATTCATACACTGCCTCCATTTAACTCAGCTCTCCCATGAGCCTGCTTAAGACATCAGCAAAGTGGGATGTTTAGGTAAGTCCAGAGTGAGTCAGGTATGGAGATTGTTGACCAAATAGGGCTGACTGTTTTGTACTAGGGGACCCTGCAACCTAGCAGTTAAAATTATTTTGAGTGCTTGGAGGATTTGCAGGAAGCCAGCATCATTTCTTGCTCCTTCAGCATGTTATTTTATCCATTCCTAGTCTGTGGAGTCCCCAGTGAACCCTTTGCAGAAGAACAGAGGATAATTGGAGGATCCAATGCAGATATTAAAAGCTTCCCCTGGCAAGTCTTCTTTACCAACCCGTGGGCTGGTGGAGCTCTCATTGATGAGTACTGGGTGTTGACGGCTGCTCATGTCGTGGAGGGAAACCAGGAACCAACAATGTATGTTGGGTCCACCTCAGTGCAGACCTCACGGCTGGCAAAATCCCAGATGCTCACTACTGAGCGTGTGTTTATTCATCCGGGATGGAAAATGCTGGAAGTCCCAGAAGCACGAACAAATTTTGATAATGATATTGCACTGGTGCAGCTGAAAGACCCAGTGAAAATGGGACCCACCACCTCCCCCATCTGCCTACCAGGGACCTCTTCCGAATACAACCTCAGGGATAGGGACCTGGGACTGATCTCAGGCTGGGGCCGAACAGAGAAGAGAGATCGCGCTGTTCACCTCAAGGCGGCAAAATTACCTGTAGCTTCTTTAACAAAGTGCAAAGAAGTGAAAGTGGAAAATCCCAGAGCAGATGCAGGGGCCTATGTTTTCACTCCTAACATGTTCTGTGCTGGAGGAGAGAAGGGCATGGATAGCTGTAAAGGGGACAGTGGTGGGGCCTTTGCTATGTGGGATCCCAATGACAAGACCAAATTCTACGCAGCTGGCCTGGTGTCCTGGGGGCCCCAGTGTGGGACCTATGGGCTCTACACACGGGTGCAGAACTATGTTGACTGGATAAAGAAGACTATGCAGGAAAACAGCACCCCCAGTAAGGACTAATCCAGACCCATCCCACCAGCTTCTCCAAGGAGGGTGACCAAGGCATTGCCTTCTGTTCCTTATGATATTCTCACTATTTCATCATGACTGAAGGAAGACATGAGAGGATGATTTAAATAGAACTTGATTGTTGAGACACTTGGCTGGAGAGAGTTTGATCCTAGAATGATGTTGACCATTCATTCATGGTCTGACTCCTTGGGGTCTTTTCCCCTGAGTGCCTATTGTAGATTACACTGTGGGTGGGGCACTCCTATCTTGCACGATGCCGCAGGGATACCTTAATTCTTTGTTTCCTCTTTACCTGTTCAAAGTTCCATTTACTTTATCATTCTCAGTATCCACTGTCTATGTACAATAAAGCATGTTTATAAGCAAATTTTGGTTGATTTACCTCATTCCACACCAAAACCTCAGAATTACAGAAGGGGGGTGGGATGAGAAGGCTGTCGTGTCACTGAAATGGGGCACCTAGCAACTAATATTTAATTGTCATGACAACAGGAAATTCAGCTTTTCTTCTGTCTTCCAACTGAGGGTTACTGAATACTGTGGATTAGTATGAACATCACCAGTACAAGGCACCACAGTCTGCTTTTGAAAGGCATTAATACTTACCTGACCAAAAAAAAGTAAGAAAAAATAAGAAAAAAAGAAACTTATCAAATCTCATGGGGAGCAAAGCTCACACCAAGTGTAATCCGAACACTTTGGGAGGCTGGGGTGAGAGGATTGCTTGAGCCCAGGGGTTCAAGACCAGTGTAAGCAACATATAAAAATTAGCTAGGCATGGTGGTGCATGCCTTGGTCCCAGCTACTCAGGAGGCTGAGGTGGAAGGATCACTTGAGCCCAGGAGGCCAAGGCTGCAGTGAGCTGTGGGAATGCCGCTGTACTCCAGTCTGGGCAAGCAGAGTGAGGGATTGTCTCAAATAAAACAAAACAAAAAATTCCCACCTCATTCAGAAGTTCACGTACAATAGTTTAAGTTGGTTATTGAAGATCTTCTTTAAATTGTTTCAATATGTCAACGGAAAGTTAATTTTTCTTTAATACTCATTTGTATAATGCAATGTTATAAAAAAAAAAAAAAAAAAAGAAAGAAGAAAAACTAAAGAAATTCAGCATGCTCTTGTCTGCTTTCCTGGTGGTTTTGATCATTTTGTGACAATGTCTTCATTAGATTGAACTCTGTACCAAGATGACACAGCAGAAAATCCCAGTGAGGATGGACCCCAAAACTCTCCCTTCTGTTTTCTAGGGGAAGGAGAAGAAAATATTCCTCCTCCCCAAAGAATGATTAGTGATGAGAAATGATGACAGAATAGAGACTTAGCATTTTAAAAAGTAAGGACAGGAGAACTAAACTATCCTATGACGGTGGTTGCCCTAACAGAGTGTCTTAGGAAAGCAGAGATCTGAGAATAAGAGCTGAGGGGGAATCTGACCTGTTTGATGTGACACGTGGCTCTCAGGAGGGCAGTTTTTACCAGAAGCCAAAGAGGTTTGTTTGGGTCCATCAAGAATGAACTTTGATCTTGCATAGACCACGGAGGCTATACTCAACCATTGGCCTTCGCCTGGAGGGTAAACACGAGGAAACCAGTGGAACTCTAATGGAAGGGCCTGAAGGATTGAAGGGAGTTACACAGGGAGTGCCTGGAAGGATTATATAGTCAACCAAACCGCATAAGGCCACTGTGTCACTCCTGAACCGTATACCTCATGGCCACGTCCCCATACTTCCTGTCATTGCAGGGGCAATGGAATTGACAGTGTGTCCGTGTCAGAGTGTTTTGGTGAGAGAAGGAGGGTTATTCTAGAGACCAAAAGGCGTTGGAGAAATATTATGATTTAGAAACATGACCTATGATAGAGATATTTTTCTTTTTTTATATTTGGGGTAATAGCAAAAAAATTAACCTGGAATCTGACAAGTAACAGGAAAAGGAAGTTCATCCCTCTCAGAGAGAATCACCCACCTATTTGGGCTCTGCCTTTGCCGATGGGCTGAGGTTTTCGTGAAGACTTTCCCTCTTTGCTGCCGCCTTGTACAGCCTGATGGGTATGGGTTTTGTATCGTTGACTGCACTGCGAGGTCGTTACTCTGGGTGAATGGCAGGGAGAAGATCTAAATGAATCATCATCAGAGACTTCAGAGCTGGGAGGAGCCCATCACCAGGTTCTAGAGGGGCTAGAAAATCATTCATTGTGTTAAAGGGTATCCATCATAGTACCTGTAGGGTCCATCCCTCCAAGGCTCTGTGAGCCCCTCCCTGCTGGTGTGGAGGGGAGAAACTGTAGAAATAAAAGGCACAAGACACAGAGACAGAGAAAAGAGAGTTTGGGCCGGGGGGTCCACTGCTACCCAGATCACAGAGACCAGCAGCGGCCCCGAGTGTTTGCACATTCTGACTTTTATTGACTACAAAGCTGAGGGCAGGGAAGATAGGGCATAGGTAGGGCATGGCCCTGGTGGTTGGTGACTGGGGGCAAGGCGTTGCTGTGATAGGGTCAAGTACATCATGTGTCAAACAGGTAGGGGCTCAGGAATTTTCTGAGCCGAGATGAGGTAAGGGGCACCTTTTCCATACTTGTCACAAAAACATTAAGATTTACGTTACTTTTACTGATTAATTCTTGCAAGAAAAAAGGACCCAGGTGCAGAAGCGGATCATGAGGTTGACATGGAACGTGACCGCTGAAGCACAGCATCACATAGAGACAGTTAAGCCTCCGGATGTCTGTGGGCCTACCTGACAGCCGCCAGGCCCACCGCCAGAGCTTGGAGGAGCGGAGTTTTCTCCTAACTCTTCCGGGGAAGGAGACGGTCTCGGCTAATTTGGACATCTCTTTCCCTAGCTGGCTAAAAAGCGGGCACTTTCCCAGCGCTGGTGCTGCCGCACAGCCGAGGCGCCCTCCAGCAGCCCTTACAGGGGCGTGACAGAGGGCTTAAAGCCTCTTACCTTATGGTCATTCCTTTCACAATGTCACCCCAGGTTCACACTTCAGACCTGAGAGGCATTAGTAAAAGAATTAAGATCACTTATGAATCACTAAGATCACCTGTGAATAACTAGTAACTCCTACAGTTATATTTCTAGTTACTTTCTTCTTTCTTATTTATGTGGAAATAGGCTGAGGCCTTTGGTTCCTGCCTCGGTATTACGGGGTCTCCCCACTACAGTGCCTTGCAAGTTACTTGGGAACATATGTCCGCTTCATCTGAAACTCAGGAAAAGATTTAGCTTTTTTTTTTTTTTTTTTAAGATGGAGTTTCACCATATTGGTCAGGCTGGTCTCGAACTCCTGACCTCAGGTGATCCACCCACCTCAGCCTCCCAAAGCGCTGGGATTACAGGCGTGAGCCACCGCGCCCGGCTAAAGATTTAGCTTTTTAAGGAGGTGAATTGTCACTTTTCTTTGGTCAGAAGAAAATGGACTGGTGGGTCAGCAACACATGCCAGGGAGGAAAGACAGTGTCCAGTGGTCAAGAGGACTTGAAGCAAAGGAACCTGCTTGAAACTGGACCAGTCCGAAAGGGGCTAGAAGGGATTCTGGGAATATAAAGATTCCTTTACAGTGACGGCTAGAATCAGAAACATACTCTGTGGAAATGTGACTTTTTTCCTGCATATTGGTTATTATTTTTAAAATTAAAAATATGAGGCTGGGTGTTGTGGCTCATGCTTGTAATCCCAGCACTTTGGGAGGCCAAGGCGGGTGAATCACCTGAGGTCAGGAGTTCGAGACCAGCCTGGCCAACATGGTAAAACCCCGTCTCTACTAAAAGTACAAAAATTAGCTTGGTGTGGTGGCACGTGCCTGTAATCCCAGCTACTTGGGAGGCTGAGGCAGGAGAATCACTTGAACCTGGGATTGCAGAGGTGAGATGGCACCACTGCACTCCAGCCTGGGCAACAGAGTGAGATTCCTTCTCTCTCACTCTCTCTCTCACTCATACACACACACACACACACACACACACACACACACACACACACGTATGAGAAAACTTTATTTAATCTTGATCAGATCCACAAACGCTGCCGTGATTTTTTAAATAATGATTTAACAAAACCCGTTTTCTTTTGACATAGTCACAGGAAGTTGCAAAGATAGTTCAGAGAGGTGCTGTGTACTCTTTACCAGTTTCCCCTAATGGCTACCTCTTAGGCAACTACAGTACAATATCTAAACCAGGAAACTTATTGGTACAATGTACACGCACAGTTTTGTGTTTACTATATTGGAGAGTCATGTAAGCACCTCTGCAGTCAAGATATGAAACAATTCCATCACTACAAAGATTTCCCTCATGCCACTTTTTTGTAATCACGCCCTTTTCTTTTTTATTTTCTCTTACAATTGTAAAAAGACACGTTGGAAAGATCCAGCTTCTCTCAGTTGTGCTAAGAGGAAATTGATTTTGGGTATGTCCACCCTTGAGCCAGAGAAAGGCGGAGACGGGACATATTGGGGGAGATGAACTTGTGACAACAGGAAACACAAGGGGGGAACCCCCAAAGCAAAACCTACAGGGAAAATCTCTGATGGATCTTATTTCCTGGGGATGCAGCATCTGTTTTAAAACATCTGTCGCGTGTAATCCCAGCACTTTGGGAGGCTGAGGCAGGTGGACTGCGAGGTCAGAAGTTTAGACCAGCCTGACAAACATGGTAAAACCCGTCTGTATTAAAAATACAAAAATTAGCTGGACGTGATGGCGTGCTCCTTCAATCCCTGCTACTCAGGAGGCCGAGGCAGGAGAATCGCTTGAACCTGGGAGGCGGAGGTTGCAGCGAACCAAGATTGTGCCACTGCACTCCAGCCTGGGCAACAGAACAAGACTCCATCTCAAACAAAAACAGAAACAAAACTCTCTTCCTCTACAAAGGACTAAGAAGGACACAGAAGACCTGTAGCTGCCGGGAAGGAGCTCATTCTGATTGTAACCATTGTATTCTGCCTCATCTCCAAATGGGCTGTTTGTATCTATCTCCCTTTAGGTTTAATGTGAAAGCAAATTATTTCTTTTATCTTCATTGCTTAGGACTGAGTGTAAAATATTTTTGGCATAATATGCACAGGATTTTCTGCATCTGCCTAATCATGGATAAAATGAAAATGTTTCTTAATCTCTCTTTGACAGAAAACAAGGAGAACTTCAGGTTTCCAACAGAAAAAATAAAAGAGGATGGTTAGAATAAAAATTCACAGAAAAAAAAATCAACAGAATAAAAATTCACTGAAGCAGGGATGAAAGCAAAAAAGCACCTGAGCACCTGTTAGGGGAGAAGTCAGGACAGCAGGGAAGTGGAATCCTGGGGCCACTGCAGGTGAGTGCTTTCAGACCTGAGCAGGAATGAAGACCCCAAAGG